GCGGAGATAGAGACGGTGGAGGGTGGTGGTTGGAAAGCGGAGTGCGTAGGTGTGGATGAGCGGACTAGTGGGCAGAGGGGCAGAAGCGTGGACAGCTCAGTGGCGGAGGCCTACACCTGGGGTGTTTCATCTCTTCCAGTGGGGGAGGGTGGCGCGGGGGCAGCGGGCACTCACGGATGCGCTCGGTCCAGCACTGGGTCTCGTTCTGGGTGCAGTTCTGCACGTGCCGGCAGTGTGTGTTGCTCACCTGGGTCTTGCAGGAGTAGCACTGCAGGGCCGCGCCTGTGGGGTGGGGGGATCGGGGCTCAGAGGCTGCCCAGCCCACCCTCCCGTGGGCAGGGAGCTGCCAGCGGGAGGCCCACCAGCCTCACTTGCTCCTTGGCCAGAGGGAGCGTGGAGAGGACGGGAGCACGCCAAGGGGCCGGGCGCCCCTTCACGGGAAGTCCACCCAGGAAAGGCTTCTCTGCCCCCTTCCCGTCCTGGCACCTGAAGTCCGCCCTCTGCACCCCAGCATACCGCTTAGGGTTTTAATGCTTTCTTAGAAAGCCCCTGCTCCCGAGAGGGAAGGGGTGACTGGCCCCAGGAACCACGGAGGTAGATGACACCCTTCCCTGACTTCCCCATGCCATTGGGCATCGAGGCCCACCGGCTTTGTCCCTCGGCAGCCTGTCCAAGCTCAGCCTGGCCTCTCTGACCTGCTCAGGCCTCCTGGGAACCGTGTGGNGTTTTCCCTTCCAGGTGCCCTACATTTGCTCCTGCCGAGGCCAGAGCTCCAGCCCACGTAGTCAAGGGCACGTCCACAGCCACAGCCACAGCCCTGGGCCCCGACCCCTACCTGGACCCAGTGGCATGCGAGGACAGAGGCTCTCTCCAGCTTAACCAATAGGCATTTATTAAGGGCCTACTACATGCTGAGGCTGCTGCTAAGCGACCCCCATGAGCACGGGGGCTGGGCCCCCCTGAGGGCTTGCCCCTGCTGGGTGTGGGAGCACCAGGGACCACACCTGGCTCAGCTCATGGAGGGGTGGTGTGGGGGAGGCTTCCTGGAGGAAGAGATGCCTGAGCAGAGGGTTAGGGCTGGGTCTGAATATTGGGTGGTGGAAACAGCAGCAGCTTGAGGCCCGGGTGTTGAAGGGTCTGTCTGCAAGCTGTTCCGTGTCCCTAGAGCCCAGCCTTCCAGGCAGGCAGGAGCTAGACAGGAGTTCTTGAGGGAGACAGGGGAGGACCATATGGGCAGTGCAGCATGGCCAGACCTGTATTAGGACACACCCTCAGGGACCAGGAGGGACCCCATCTGGGCCGGGTGTGTGAGGAGTGGTCCAGGGACCTGGGCACCGTTGCCTGGTTTGGGCGGCAGCAGAGCCCTCCTGGAGGCGACAACTGGTCTGGGCCCCAAAGCAGCAGGCCACCAAGTGCGATGAGCAGCACGAGGGTGGCTATGGCTGGCTGCAGGGCGTGTGCCCCGCTGGCGTTGCACAGGTCCGTGGAGCAGCACGTGACGTTCTTCTTGCCCAGGTAGTAGTCCTGCCAGTCTTCCACGCAGTGCGAGCTGCAGCCCTTGCTGATGATGGTCAGGAAGCCAATAGCACCTGGTGGGGCACGGGGTCTGCTGGGCTAGGGCCAGGTCCAGATGCCCACCCATCTGGCCATGCC